GTTTTATCAAGTCCCCAATGGTTGGTTTAGTGTTTTCTAGCTGCGGCTGCCTGGCTCACCCGAGTGATGGAATATCATTTCAGGTCGAGAGAGTGCGCGAGCCAAGGACATAGCTGAGGTGTGCGACAAGTTTTGTCGTTTATGATGTATTACATGTAATTTCAAGCCAAGGGCTTAAGTGTAAACGAGTTTAGAACCTCGTTTTAACCAGATTGTCGTAAGTATATAATCTGGAAAAGCTCTGTGTAAGCCCTGATAGGGGCATTTTCCTAACATCATGGAGCGTATGAACATCGTACCATACTTAGTGTATCTTGTAATCTAGAGTGAAATGAAAGGAAGCAGTTAGTTCTCCAAATGTAATGCATGTCTTAGACCTGATGGGTTTACGATACTTCATCTTCTACGGGGGCGTTACAGGGGAGCCTGCGACCCAATGTCTCCGTCCCACCAGCCACCTGACTCTTTTCAATAGTCGCGCCCACAATCCGTGGATGGGGGGGTCGGCTGGCCATAATTTGAGAGTGAATCTGCCGGTCGACCACTTTGATGGCCGGCCGGCCAAATGTGGTTTTCAACAGATATTTCTTTAAACAGCTGGCAGCTGTCATTCCAGGCCATACCCCAGCCCATGCCTGGATGTGGGAGCTCTGAGGAGCTGCAGATTGATATATTTCTATATCAATCAAGCTTCTTGACAAGGAAGAGACACGCAATGAGAGAAGAGAAGAGAGATACAACTTGGAGAAAGAAGAATTTTCCTCTCTCTCTAAAAAATTCTCAGCTCTCTCTCCCTATCTCTCTCTCCCAAACCCTTCAAATCCTGAGGTTCTTGCACCCTTTACACTACACCTCCAAGCCTACGACCTCCATACTCCATTCCATCAACTTGGGGCTGATTTCCGGAGGCTAGAAGCTCATTTCCTTGGATCAAAAGTTGTTGTGTTGTTGTTCTACAAGGGTAAGCTCCTATGTTCCCCTTTTTTGCACTATTTTGCTCTATGTTTTAGCTCCTTTTGCTTATATTTTTGGGCTCTGACCCGAACTAGAAATAGTTTTATTTTGAGCTAACCTTCATGTTTGATCAAGGACTTTTCTCTGTTTGAGGTCTCCTCCTCACCCTTTGTGTTTAATCTCTCTTTTAGGACTTATCTCGCATGGTATTTTAGCCCTATTTTTGAGCATTTTTGGGCTTCGAACCAAACTGTGAAGTGCCTTATTTTGAGCCCCTCTTCAACTTTGTTGAAGGGCTCTTCACTATCTGGAGCCAGCTGCTGTCCCTTGTCTCTAATCTCTCTCTTAGGGCCATTTTTGCATAATAGATTAGCCCTATTTGTGTTCACTTTTTAGATTTGTTATAAACTGGAACAAGTCTTATTTTTACATCATCTTCATGTTTGATTAAGGGCATTTTCTTGTTTGAGGTCATATGCTTCCTTGTATGCTTGATTGTCCCTTATTTTGAGCCTTACACCTAAGCTCTTGTTGTATGCTTGGTTTGACCTTCTAGCCACTGAAATCCAGTGGATTTTTAGTGGCTAGCACACTGTTTTGGTCCTCCAAATCAGAGGGGGGTGACCCCCTCTCTCCTTGACTTGTTTGGTGGTCATCTTGGCCTTCCAAAGAGACCCTATCTTTCATGCTTTGAAGACACTTTCCAGGGTCAATTTGGTGAGTTTTGGGAGTACCATATTTTATTTTCAGAGTTTATTTGGCTATGCTAAGTGTCCATCTTGTATGTGCTTAAGAATCCCTCGCATAGCCCTCTAAAGGAGCTCATCATTTTTGCATGTGTTGGCATCATTTCAGTGGTTATTCGGGCCTATTTTCACATGTTTTGTTTACTGATTTTTTCTGGTTTGGTGAGATTCCATATGCTTCACACACTTGCCATGTAAACCATGTTTGCTAGTCAAAGTTGCATGCTACTTTAGTCCATCTTACTAGCACTTTTTGGCCATGCTTTGAACTAGAAATGTTCATATTTTGGGGCTGTCTTGGCTCTGTCTTCATGCTTCATGATCAAATAATGCATGCTTTGTATAGCTATAAGTCATTCCGTGTGCCTAGTTTCGAGTTGCGGGTTTCATCTCATGCATTGGGTGCCATTTTTCCATGTTTTGGGGCTGTTTAGCATCATACTTCAGTGCTGAAATTTGCATGTTCATATGCCATGTTTCATCATTTTCCATGCTTAGTTAGAGTTGTGTGTTGTATCTTAGGATCGGTCCATGCATTGGACATGTTTGTGTGCATTTCGGTTGCCTCATTTCCATCTTATTGGCCACTGATGTGAGTGTGGCTGAGGTCCACTCACATTGGTATAAGTCCATCCTTCATTGTGTATGCCATGTTTCAATGCGTTGTGCATGTTATGTTGTTAGCATTGTGTGTGCCATGTAGTTGCATTGCATGTTCGTATGTTTGTTTGCATGCTTAGGTCGCATGTGCATCGTTGTGCATTCCCTTGCCTCTTGACCAATCATGATAGGGGTTGGGGCCCTTTGATGTGTTTTGTGCTTGCATTTCATTTGATATCAAAGTTGCACACTTGGCTTTTGGGCCATCATGCATTGAAGTACGTAATTGATGGCCCGAAGGTCGAGAGCCATGCTCCTTTGAGTCCATTGCATGATAGGGAGAATGGCCATGCATACATTGCTTTGAATTTCCTTGCCATGCACTGTCTGCCCTCTGCTGCTGTCAAAAATAGGTTCTGCAGGAATCTTTGGCCGGCTGGCCACCTATACTGCCGACCGGCCATTCATTATTTGCCGATGGATTTAAAAATGGTCGATAACCATCCGGACATGGCCGGTGGAAATTCTACTTGGTCGGTGATGCTCCCCAGTGTCCAGAGAGTGCACCTTGGGAGTTGCACAATTTTCGGAGGAGCAAGGCAGTGTAAACAGAGGCAACAGTGGCATGGTACAGATTTTTGGGCAAGACGAGTCAAGCATGCATCATCCACGCATTTCGAGGCAGGGGCTGTGGCCACTTTAATTCTTTGTTTAAATTGTTAATTAATTGGAACTTCTATAATAATTAATTTAGCACTATTCATTCGGACTATAATATTTATTCGGACCCTCCGAGCGAGGGCAATTGTGTAATAAGTGTGCGTGAGTGTGTGTATGTCTCCCAATCCCATGTCTTTCTTCCCTTTTATTTACTAGCTTTCGATGTTTAGTTTAGGGCATGTTTCAATTAGCATATAGTATGATAGCATGCTTGCATCCATACATTTGTCTTGAATGCACCGGGCTCGGCGCATCATACTAACTGCATTTGTATTTCAATTCCCAAAGTTGAATACATGTTAGTTTTAGCATCATCATCTGCCATCTTAGAATAGCCGAGCCTATTATAGTTGCATCTTGTATGTGTTGCATTAGCCATCTTAACATAAGCTAGGATCATGCATTGATTACTAACTAGCTTGTGTTTTGGCTCGGAGTACTAGGTAAGCATTTATGCTTTAGTATACCGCATGCGTATGAGTGTTGCCATAATAGCATGATTACCATGAGGCTAGCTGCTTATGTGATATAACTGCTTGAATGGCTGTGGATGGAGGTTGAATTAACTAAATTGGGATAATGCATTAAAACTGTGAGTTTTAAGCCCACTAGATAGTGGCAAAACCATTTTTCTAAAGCCCACTTGAGGGTGGCAAAACCTACATTTCAGCCTACTTGCGAGTAGCAAACCATTTTCAAAACAAGCATGAAATGTTTTGTTCTAATTTAGGCAATTTGGTCTATACTTGTTTGCTGTGCGCATACACTACTAGGATTATGACTTTTTGCGTCTATGTTTTTGCGACTGATTATTTAACCGTCGCAAAAAGTCACTTTTTACATTAAAAAAATCACAAAATCACTTAAAACAATCGTGTACTTAAAAAAAAAAAAAATCATCTAAAACAGACCTATATCTCCCTTTCACTCTTATTTCCCAAACAGACCTCTCTCTCTCAAAATCTCACTCTCGCTCGACTCTCTCTCGCTTGAAACTCACTGTCTAAATCTGTCTCGCTCGACTAAATTTGAATCTCGCTTGAATCTCACTCTCAAGATTTGAAGATTTTGATCGATTTGTTGATGAAGATTTGAAGATTTCGATCGGCTGTTGATGAAGATTTCGATCGATTCATAATCGAGATTCATAATCGGTAAGCTACTTTCTATGTATGAATCCAACTCTCTGTCTCTCTTTCTCTCTATCTATATATACACACAACCATATGTCTCACTGCTTCGTGTTCCTTGTTTCTCTCCTTCTCTTTCTTTATCTCTCTAACCTCCATCTCTCTTCTCTGTGTCCATGATCTTAGGTTAGGATTTGATCCAGAGGAGAAAGGAAGCAGTAGGTATGGTAACTCTTACTTACACGATGATCGCTGCTGTGATTCACATATTTTATGATTTTGTTTCTAATTTTAATTTTAGCTTTACAATCATGATATTGTGCATTGTGCATTCCTTCTTCATCGCATCTGGATATGTGCCATTTTCCTGTTTTTATTATTTGAAAATCACTTGGTGAGGAGGAGACATTGAACCTCTATGATTGTTGTGGTACGTATGATTCTATTTCTATAGATCGATCTTTATATTTTTTTTTTTTAGTGACTAAGTAAAATTTAATAGTCATAAGCAAAAGAAGACCAGTTCCAATCATTTAAAAGAAGGCACATTATGCAAAAAGTTTTAAAATTTCGTGCATGCATGAATGTTTCATAATTAGATAATGGATTATAGTTTGTGAATTTTGTTTCCCTCAATGTTTTGAGAAAAATAATTTTGTGCATGCATGAACTAAACTTTTTCTATGGAGCTGATTCTTTGTTACTTAATTTAAGTAATTGCGGCTTTGGTCTGTAAATGGAATTTCTGAGAACGACGTGAATTGGAGGTTCGGTTTGGTTCGTCTGATAAGTATGGGTTTGAGGTTTGAGCTGCTGATCTTGAGATTGTGGTCATCCCCCTTTTTGTACATTTTTCCGGCCTCTATGACAATTTTCAGTCGTTGGAATGGAGCCTACAACCTGTCATTGCTTAATAATTAGAATTCAATAATTAACCATTGGGTGTTAGCTTGAATAGTCCAAATTTCAGCTGTATTGTTACTTGTACCAATGGGACATTCACTTTTTAGTATTTAGGTAGCCAACTGGTGGGCATACTATTGATCTCTACCTTGAAGTGAGTATAATTTTTTATTGCATTTATTAGGCAATTATAAAGATGGACCAAAGCGGATCTTCTTATCTGAAGAACCTTGGCAAGTGTTCAATCTTCGTAAACAACAAGGAAATAGTACCTAAACAGGTTATAAACCTTACTTCAAGTTGTTTGATTGAGGTATGTTTTTACCTTCCTTGGACACTAGACTAATCAATTTTATTTTTTATTTTATTTGCTCTACTTGCTGAATGTCTCGAATCTAGGTGCAAAATAGATTTACTAAAAAGCCTTTGGATACAATTAGAATCAAATCATTTCTTTCTTGTTATTTATTTATTTATTGGTACAATCATTTCTTTTTGTTTACCCAGCATGTGAACTGAAAAATTCATCTTTTAGAATTCATTTACTACCAAAAATGGAGTCCTCACACTACATGAAGTCATCACAAAAATAATAATTCATAATATACAAAAAGATGTCAACAAAAACAAAATAGACTATTCAAATGTTATGAAAAATTAAAATTCCGTGTGTGTTCTAAATTCTGCCCACAAGCTGTTAGAGTTACATCATAATCAACCTTGAATGCATCTTCAAACTTGTTACAAGGAACAATTTCGCATTGAGAGTAGGCTTTGAGTGCAGCATCCTCACTATAGGCACCTGGTACCCCCTGCATTATTAATTGGATAAACTATGAATATTAGGAAAAAATTTATAGCAACCAGAAATTCTTTTCCTTGATCCTTTTTTACTTTTTCCTGTGCATTAGGAGCTTGCGGCTTGGACAGAAATGCAATATCTTATATGATATCCGCACCTTCTTACTATCATTTAGAGAAACCAAAGAATCAATCACTGATAATGGTTCTGCAATTAAAGATATTGGAAAATAAAATTGAGAAAATTACAAGTTATTAAACCAAAATCAGTTAGACATCTGATACATAAGGCAGTTTATCATAAGCAAGCTTCACATAAGTTACTCAAACAAATAGTGAAAACCAACATAAATGGTTAAAAAGTGTGAATTGAAAAGGATATAAACAAAAGTAGGTAGTTGATCAACCAACTTTTGGTATAAATCTGTTAAAGCATCCAACTCGAAACCAATTGGCTATGAATGGAAGGGCCTCTCAAGTATGTTAACCAAGCTTGGGAGGCTTAAAGAGACAATGTGGAAAGAAAACATTCAACTAAGCAGTGTCCCAGACTGTCAGTAAGTCCCTAAAAAAAAAAATCCTCACCCTTGAATTGCTAATGACCAATCAGATTTGGTGGTGTGATGGCAGGGGGAAACCTTCTTTTGTGCTTTAAAGGGGATGAAGAAAGATGCAACAGACTGGGTAATGGAGAAGATGGCAAACCTAGAGAACAAAACATGTAACCAGGGGTGCAGAAACTATATATATCATTGAGTTCAGCCAATTAGCTTTTGGACTTGTCTTAGCCCCTTCCAGTTGCACCAATAAGGGCCTAATAACTAAGATGTCTCTATCTCAAACTATTTTCTATAGAGCTGGTGACCAATCTTTGCCTACCAATAAGCTATCAAGCCACATCTTCAATCTAATAATCCAAGAGGGCATTGTTTATTTTAATCGTTATGAAATGAAAAGAAGATTTGAAGCACAGCTTCAACCCCCACCCATACATCAAACCATCACAATGAGAAAGAATGGCACACCCTCCAAACAATTATCATATAGGCATAAAATAGCCATAGCCTAATTATATAACAACTCTACTCAAGACAATTAGTTTAAGGGTGACTTAAAAGAGTGATGTAAACTGTGGAGGCAGGGGCCAGCCATTTGAGTGCCCTTCTGGGAGATTATCGACCATGGGGCCCTTAGGTATTAGTGAGTTAAAAAAATAAAAAGTGCAATGCTGAAGACTCTTAAATTTACTCAGAATTTAGTTTGTTCTGAATGTGTGGTTGGTTGCTTGAAATTTGTAGGACTTAAAAATATGATTGTTTTAGAATTTAGTTTGAGCTGATTGTTTGTTACTTAATTTAAGTAATTGCGGCTTTGGTCTGTAAATGGAATTTCTGAGAATGACGTGAATTGGAGGTTCGGTTTGGTTCGTCTGATAAGCATGGGTTTGAGGTTTGAGCGGCTGATCTTGAGATTGTGGTCATCCCCCTTTTTGTACATTTTTCCGGCCTCTATGACAATTTTCAGTTGTTGGAATGGAGCCTACAACCTGTCATTGCTTAATAATTAGAATTCAATAATTAACCATTGAGTGTTAGCTTGAATAGTCCAAATTTCAGCTGTATTGTTACTTGTACCAATGGAACATTCGAAAGCTTATATCCAGTGACAACTTGATTTTTTCTGTGATATTTTTGTGAGATGATTAAATGATTAACTCTTTTCAAACTAGTATTGATTCTAAGAACAATTTTGAACCCTTTTGTACCGCTATTGGAAAAGGTTTTGGCATCCAAGTAAGTCAATTAATGTGCTCTTTGTATCCAATTTTGTTTTGGCATCCAAGTTAGTCAACTAATATATTGATGTATATTTTTGCAGGTAGTGTTGAGGGAGTAGTTGATATGATTGAGTGGGTGATATGGAGAGTTAAATTCAGTTTTTTTTTATAGTAATTGAATCTATTAGTATTTTGTATAAATACTTTTAAGGATGGTTGATGGATATTTTTCTGAAGTCAATTCTTGTTGTTAACTTCAATGTTTATATATTTTCTTGCATGTATTTATCATAACTGGATATTTTGAATGCTTCCCCTGTTATTAGAATTTTTGCAAATATCACTTTATATTTATTGTATATACTACTTGAATATATATATATATATATATATGAGAATATAGGTTGCTAAAACATTGTAGGTATTTTATTTATTTATATTTTTTTTGCGACGGTAACAAGATGGTCGCTAATACATTGTAGGTATTTTTTTAATTTTTTTGCGACGGCAAAATATTAGTCGCGATAAGTAGATTAGGCGGTCGCAAATAGTTTGCGACTGCTATTTTGCGGTCGCAAAAAGTATTTGCCACCCCCACATTCGCGACCCCCATTTGCCGTCGCATGGGCCGTGGCAAAAAGTCTTTTGCGACTGTTTTTTATTATTTGCGACGGTTTATAGCGGTCGCAAAAAGTGGTTTTTTTAGTAGTGATAACGTAGTAATTCTAGGCTAATAACCGGAATAAGAACACATAACGTTTTCAAAAACGGATATCACGGTTAGTAGAGGCCGATTTTTGGATCGGGCAAGAGGGGGTGCTCATAGCTGACCTTCCCCAATCGTACCTAAGCTCCCGAGCCGAGGCAACTTTGGTGATGACGAACACGTGGCCTTTGGCATCGAGTCAGGGTTTCCTAAATTTCCCCATAAAAATATTTAGGTGGAGACTCTGTATCGGGCAAAGCAGTCCATGTTTGGCATTTCTTTCTAAAAATCTGTTTTCCAAAATGATTTGCCGGATTTGGACTCTTTGGTTCAGATTAAGAACCGTGACAATTTGAGAGTCCTGAACTGTAGTGAGGCCAATATGAACAGAACGAGGGAACTCATCCTCCCGGGGCATTCGGGGACGTCTACAGCTGGTTGTAGACCGGTTGACTAAGTCGGCGCACTTTATCCCTATACGCGTGAAAGATTCGGTAGATCATCTTGCCATCTTGTATATTCGGGACATAGTGAGGTTGCACGGGGTCCCAGTGACGATCGTCTCAGATAGAGACCCTCGTTTTACTGCTAGGTTGTGGCAGAGTTTGCAAAGTGCCTTGGGCACTAAGTTGACCTTTAGTACGGCTTATCATCCTCAGACTGACAGGCAGTCCGAGCGTACTATTCACATCCTTGAGGATATGCTTCGAGGTTGTGTCCTGGACTTTAGTGGGACATGGGAGAGGCATTTACCCTTAGTGGAGTTTGCCTACAACAACAGCTTTTAGTCGAGTATCGGTATGGCACCGTTTGAGGCCTTGTATGGCCAACCTTGTAGGTCTCCAGTTTGTTGGGCCGAGGTGGGTGATGCACCTTTGTTGGGCCCGGAGTTGGTGAGAGAAACGACAGAGAAAGTCGAGCTTATCCGTAGGAGGCTTGTTACAGCCCAGAGTCGTCAAAAGAGTTATGCCAACCGTGGGAGGAGGCCTTTAGCTTTTGAGACGGGTGATCATGTTTTTCTGAAAATATCATCTAGGCGAGGTTTGATGAGGTTTGGGAAGATTGGGAAGTTATCCCCTCCGTTTATCGGTACCTTTGAGATCCTTGAGAGGATTGGGGAGGTTGCTTATCGTTTGGCTTTGCCACCTCAGTTGTCCGGAGTGCATGATGTGTTTCATGTGAGTATGCTTCGGAAGTATGAGCCGGATCCATCGCGTGTATTGGATTAGACCGACTTAGAAGTAGATGAGGATGCCTCGTATGAGGAGAGACCGATTCGGGTCTTGGATAGGCGGGATCAAGTGTTGCGAGGCAAGACCATTCCCTTGGTAAAGGTTTTGTGGAAACATCACGGAGTGGAGGAAGCCACTTGGGAACGTGAGTTGGAGGTCCGAGAGAAATATCCGAATCTATTTGTGGATGTTTGAGTATATGTTGTATATTTTGTTGTATTGTTGAACCTTAAGAGTATTGAAAATATCTTAGGTTGTAAAACATTGTGTATGTTTTGGTTTAATGGAAGTATTTTGGAACTTGCCTTGAAATGGAAGTTTGATATAACGTTGCATATGTTGAATGTGTTATAGAAATGGAAATTATATCATGAATATTGAATATGATGCGGAAATGGGAATCATATACATTTTAAATTGTTGAAATGGCAAGGAAATGCATGTTGAAATGTATATGTTGTGAAATGCCTCTTGACAAGAGATGGAATGACCGGGAAGGGTTGAGTTATTTAATGTTGAATGTAACATTGTTTAAAATGGAGAAAAACTTGTTCTTTTGAAAACTTGCATTTAATTTCGGGGACGAAATTCTTTAAGGGGGGAAGGTTATAGCGATTTCGGGTTTTACCCCTTGTTGTACAGTGATTCGGACTTAGTTCCATGGATGTTAGCAGTTGTTTATATCTTGTTTACATCCTTTTGTACTTTGTATTTGAGTTATAGGATGTGTTGGGCGTGTTCTGAATAGGTAGGTTGAGTTTTGGTCTCTAGTGTAGTTGCCCAGCTTTTTGGTGTTACGCTCGAGCGGAGTTTGGTTTTTGGTTGTCCGCTCGAGCGGGCCTTCTTGCGCTCGAGCGGGATCTACACACTCCCAGTATCTCGTGTCCCTGCAAAACTTCTGTAGGTGTGTTTTTCACGCTCGAGCGGGTCGCGCTCGAGCGGGTATGTTGGCGTTCGAGCGGGTAGTGCTTTGTCTGTGAAAGTTCTGGGAGGGGGAAATCTACGCTCGAGCGGACTGGTTTTCGTGCTCGAGCGGATGTATTTTATTCTTGTGTCTTGGAGCTCGAGCGTGTCCAAATTTTTGTGCCTGACGCTCGAGCATTCTATTCTCCGCTCGAGCAGAAGTGTTGTATATCAGTGGGCAGCTGGGCATTTTTGAATCACTTTTTACATTCACTCTCTCTCTTACTTTCTAAAAACACTTTTCAGAGCCTCTCTCTCTAGGATTTCTCTTCTCTCTAGGGTTTGATCTAGTTAGAGTGTTCTCCTATCCTTCGGCCTTCGTAAAAAGCGTGTTGATCGTTGAGGGTTTCGTTTTGATCCGAAAGGTTTGGAGTTTGGAACACTTTGGTTTTGGTCTTCTTCCCCATTTGAGCTCTAACTTCGAGGTAGGGATATCCTACTCCTCCTTATGAGCTTTGTCTTTAAATTTTAACATTGTGATATGTTGGGGATTGTTGGGTAATTTTGAGAAAGTTTGGGTCTTTGTGTAATTTTACAAAAGGTGGGGTTTTATTTATATAAGCCTATATGCATGTTTAGCATGGAGAAATGAGATAAATGTTGGGTTATTGATAGATAGGGTTGTTTTGTTAATTATGGGAAATGCCCTAATTACATTGATGAATTAATTTGTGAAATTAATTTTGAGAAATGAGAAGTTGAATGAAAAATGTTGAAATTGGGAACATATGGGATTAAAGGGTGTAGTTGGATCATTTATCACTCACCTAGTTGAAATGTTGATATTTTATCCATTTGGTGCATTTATTTTCTATTTAGAAATAACTGCTTTGGGCTATCGGTGGAGGATAGTCTTGATTGTTGTAGACAATGCATGATGATTAGGCAAACTAAAACTAATCGATTGAGTATGCTATCGAGTCTAGCGGTTGGAATAATACATTAACTTTATGTATTGATTGATTGTGTATGTGATCTATGTTTATATACATTGTGTGTGGGAGGAGATAGGGGATGTACTCCACTGTTTAGGGGAAGATAGAGGATGGACCTCTAAACCGAATTTCGTGTGATATTGAAACAACACTACAATGTGTATCAAGTGTGGATTATGGAAGTGTTTGAATTGATTTGATATAGCACTAAAATGTATATCGTTATCAATTGTGAAGTATAGAAGCGTTTCTATGTGTTATTGATACAACACCAAAATGTGTATCCATCATGAATTTCGAAAGTGTTTTAAAGATGTGTCTAAATCTGATTAAGTTATTTGGCTAGGTTCTAAGCCTTGTTTTCAAACTCAAAGTTGAATAAGAAATGAAAACTAAAGTGTGCCATGGGCATGATTGTCGTGAAACTGTAATACGACATACGTTGGAATACAAGGGTGGACCATCTATTGAATGCTATTATTTTAGTCATTGTTTATAGTTGGTTTAGTATATTTCTACTGGGCTGTGGCTCACCCTTTATGGGACATCATTTTCAGGTACAGGTAGCATGCCACCTCCAAGGACATAGCTTGGGAGGCTAGAAACAGACAAACTGTTTCTGTTGTTTTGTTTTCTTTTGATGTATTACATGTATATCAAGCTAAGGGCTTTCTTTGTATAGAGTTAGTACTCTTTTTTTTGTAACCAAGTGTTGACTTGGAAAGTTGTAAGCCCATAGGGCTTTTACTTTCGTTGTCAACATGTAATACATTTTGTAATGATTACTCTGAGGGAATATATTTATGCTTTATTATCTTGTGTCTAAGCATGCTATTGTTGGATGATTTATGGGGTTTTTTTTTTGAGGCCGTTACAGTTTAAGTTTTAGGCTACTAAAACTTTCGGCGACTAAATATTGACTTTTGGTGACTAAATTTTTTTTTAGTATACATGTGTCTTATTCCTCAAGTTTGGAAGTTTATTTGTATTAATTGTGTTGTGATTGATTTTCATAATGATTTTCTTTTTCTTAGATAGGCATAATGATTATTATTAAGGGTAAATTATAAACAGGTTTTAATAGTTGGATTTAATTCATATCATGTCCTATTAAAAATTAAGCATAGTAAAATTGTTGTTAAAAATAATTTTTTGTGACGATTTTTTACATGTGGCTAAAAATTGATAATTAGTAACTTTTTTGTTATCACGGTTTTTATAAATTATTGCTAAAACTTACAATTAATGACGCTTTTGTGATGAATTTTTCAACCTGACTGAAAGTTGAAAAGTAATGACTTTTTTTTGTGACGATTTTTTTAAACTGTTGTTAAAACTTATAATTTGTAACATTTTTTGTGACAATTTTCAAACTGTCGCT